ATAAAAAGTTGATAATTAAGTTCCGAACAATTATTAACTAAATAAATAATATAACTGATTAGAAGATGGAAATAGAATTAAAAAAAACAAGTTAATGGAATAATTGTTTTTGTGTATTTAAAAAAAGAAATAAAAAAGGCAAGCTCTGATTGCGCTAAACAAATTCGATCAGACGGTTGTGATCGACCCTGATCACAGTCAACGCTAGAAATTCATCCTTGCTAAAAAAATGCCACTATTTTTTTTGCACCAGCCGGGAATCGAACCCGGGTCTGTACCGTGGCAGGGTACTATTCTACCACTAGACCACTGGTGCCTGGTGTTTAATTTGACGTCATTAAATAATATATTTTTTATTAGAACACTTTTAACCTTATAAATTGTGTAGTAAATAATTTTTAATACATTAAAAGTAAAATTGAATTAAGAATTATCCTTTTAGTTTTTCTTAAAATTCTTTAAAATATTAGAAAGCATTCTATCTATTTAGCCTTTTTAATTTTAAACCCAAAAAATTATTAATATTTAATAAAGTAATATAATAATTGACTATTTTTTAAAAGAAAATAAAAAATATGGTGATTATTTAATAACACCCTAAGGAATAGTCTACATAACCAACCTCAAATACTTAATTATTAATTATTAAGAAATTACCATTAACAAAATAATAATAATAAATAAATAAATAAAATGATTTTTTTGGTTAGTGTATTGTTTTTTACTTCGGTAACAATTTATTTTTACATTTTAATATATAACAATTTACTAAAATGAAAAACCGCCTAGGAAAACCGAGAAAGCTAAGAGGAGATGAAGGTGAACTTCAACCGAGAGTCCCCTACTTTTCTCAGCCATCAATTTATATAAAGTTGTCACGTACCCTAACAACCTTCTTCCATCTCACAACACGGTCGAGTTAGAAATGCTTCATAATATAACTGCATATGGTTCCTTATTTGGCACAACAATGGTTACGAGCTTCACGGGTTGTTTCCGCTAACATGATTTTACCTCAAATTTAAGATTACTATTATTTTTTAAATAATTAGCTTAATTTTGTTTTATAACGGGCATTTAGTCATTTAATTTTAAACCAAAAATTAATAAAATTTAAAAAACATAAAACATAATGTAATAGTTGACTGTTTTTTTGAACCGTTGGGATTTGTTTAACCCTTCATAACTATGTAAAATTATAAATATATAATAATTAAAATATATGTAAATATTATTTAAAAAGAAAAAAATGATGATTATTTAATAACACCCTAAGGAATATTCTACATAACGAACATCAAATACTTAATTATTAAATAGGTAAGAGAGACACCAAGTTGTCAATATAAATATATAAAAATAAGAAATTAAAATAAATAAATAAAAAGTAGGTTAAAAAAACAATTATTTTCCCTATACTTTTATACAAACCAAAATTTAATATTTAAACTTTAATTTTAGTAAAATATAATTTTTATGTAACAAATTATATTTAATAAATTTTAATATATAAGAATTTAATATTTATCATGTGAAATTACGTGGTTATTGAATGTTAAATTTTATTATATAATGATTATGATTTTTAATTTATGTGCATACGTATTTGAAATTCGACAAAATTTAATAATTTATTATGAAAAATATTATTATTTAAAATAAGTTTATTTATCCATAAATTTAAATTTCTATTTTTATTCAAATGATTAACTTTCAAATTTATAATTGAGTCAGACCTACCAAAATTTAAATTTAAAATTTAAAATTAATATATAAATTAGATTTTTTTTAAAAATAAAATTAATGTTATTTAACGATGATTCCATTGATTATATCCGTTGTTATTTAAGTAATTTTGTGGAAAGAGGGGGGTATTTTGGTAATTTAGGAGGTTCCATTTCCCTAGCAGAGTTGCTTATTTGGGGTTTGGAATCCATAAATTCTACGCGCACACCGCTCCTTCTCTCTCCTCCGTTCCTCACTCAACGAGTTTTCTCGAACCACATTCATCGAGTTTTCTCCGCTGAATTCGAAGATTTTAACGCCAAACCATTAGCTTCTCACAAGAACGAGGAACAAGAAGAACGATTTGAAGTTTGAAGATTGAAAGATTTTACCAGGGGAGAATTTGATTTTCTTTTTTGTTCGTTTCCATTTCGAATCTTGTTTGTTTTCTTCTTGAATTCGGTGAATTTCTTATGTAATGCATCAGAAGAAATCGGAAGTTCAGATCGGAAAAGAAAGCAGCGGCGTCTCTTCCGATTTCAATCCGTCCCCTCCCCTGTTTTTCCCATCTTCAATCTCAATTCATCAGAAGCATCCACCGCCGCATTCTCATAATCATCAATCTCAGCGATCTTTTCTTTCTTTTACCACTCCTCAAATTTTGATCGAAACTCCTGCTCATCATGACCCGATTGTGCCATCGCCGTCGTCTTCTTCTTCTACTGCGCCTTATAAGAGACCTCTCTTGACTCATAATCACTCTTCCCTCTCTAAATCCCCTTCTCTGTATCGTCTTCCTTCCGCCCCTCAATTCAATTCCGTCAATCCCTCTTTCTTTTCTGTCTCTTTGGCCGTCCGGAGTACCGTTTTCCGTTTGCTCCGGCGGCTCAAGCAGCTTCGTCGTCTCCGTGTCCATTTGCGGTTGATTCTTTTGTTTTCTCTTCCGTTTTTCTATTTCTTAGTTTCTCATCCAACCCATTCTTTTTTCCTCGATTTCCTCTCGGCTTTTGCTTTCTCTGCTGCCCTTTTGTTTTCTCTTAATCTCGCCCTTCCTCGCCTTCCTTCAATACGTTTGTTTCTCGCCCGTTCTTTCCCTGTGAAGCTCATTTCGTCGTCTTCGTCATCTAGAACGCATCTCCCGGTTTTGTGGTCAATTGGGTCTCGATCAAAATCGGAGAAGAGGCTGAATTCAGGTTGTTGGGTTCAGGTCTACAGCGATGGCGACGTTTACGAGGGCGAGTTTCATAAGGGGAAGTGTTCAGGGAGTGGTGTTTATTACTACTATATGAGTGGTAGATATGAAGGAGACTGGGTTGATGGGAAGTATGATGGATATGGAGTTGAGACATGGGCTAGAGGAAGCCGGTACCGTGGGCAGTACCGGCAGGGCCTCCGGCACGGTTTCGGGATGTACAGGTTTTACACTGGAGACGTTTATGCTGGAGAATGGTCCAATGGGCAGAGCCATGGATGTGGAGTTCATACCTGCGACGATGGAAGCAGATTCGTCGGGGAATTCAAATGGGGTCTCAAACATGGACTTGGCCATTACCATTTCAGGTAGTTAATATGTTTGCTTGAAGGTTTCTGGGACTTGGAATCCAAATTATGCATTGCTGTTTTTACCAGTTTCTGTTGTCTTTCATAACTGTTCATCAAATTGTGCATTAGTGTTTGAATGGGTTCTATGAAATAGTTAGTATCACTTGAATGAGTTCTATGAATCTTGGATCTTGGAGGTTATCTCCCATTATTGAAGCCCCTATCATCTGACCAAGAGCATTGTCTTGGCTTTCTTTTCACCAAGAACACCTTGTTCCCTGCTATATTTAGGATTTGAATGTTTGTTATTTTGAAGATGAAGGAAAGTACTCGAGAAACCAACCCAAGAAAGGGCAACAAAGAAAGAAGGGACCTCGGGGGCTGTTATAGTTGGTATCAGAGCCAGATACTAGGCTGGGTGCCAGTGAGGACGCTGAGCCCCAAAAGGGGGTGGACGTCAGGCGGTGTGCCAACGAAGACATTGGGCCCTTAAGTAAGAGGGGTGGGTTGTGAGATCCTACATCGGTTGTTGGAGAGGGGAACGAAGCATTCTTTATAAGGGTGTGGAAATCTCTCTCTAGCACATGTGTGGAAGCGCGGAGCCTTGAGATAGCCGGGCAACTGAATTGATAAGGATGTGAGACAGCTCTGTAGGGAATTTGGATATAGTTAATTATTGAAACATATTTGGTATACTGAGAGATTTAGGACAATTGTTCTTCGACTAAGAACGGAGAAAGCTTCGTGTCCTATACGACAGTTCAAGGCAAATGTGTAAATCTGTAGCAGTTTTCTTTTTATATAATCTATATGTTATCTGATCTACCTGTTCATGTTGATATTTGTACTCATTAAAACTTGTAGAAACGGGGACACATATGCTGGTGAATATTTTACGGACAAAATGCATGGATTTGGGGTTTACCAATTTGCTAACAATGGACACCGATATGAGGGTGCTTGGCATGAAGGCAGAAGGCAAGGACTTGGAATGTATACATATAGAAACGGAGAAACCCAATCCGGCCACTGGCAGAACGGAGTTCTCGACATTCCGAGCACTCAGAGCTCTACTTATCCAGTATCCCCTGTCGCAGTTTACCATTCCAAAGTACTGAATGTAGTGCAGGTACAAATCCCTCTTTCCTACACGAATCGTTGTGGTTGTCAAGTACTTTTCGTGTCGTTCAGTGTTCGAGATGGTTTTCTAATTGGTTTGTCTACAGGAAGCAAGACGAGCAGCTGACAAAGCCTACAGCGTCGGGAAAGTGGACGAACGGGTGAACAGGGCAGTAGCAGCGGCGAATAGAGCAGCGAACGCAGCTAGAGTAGCAGCCATCAAAGCAGTCCAGAAGCAAATGCAACGGACCAAGAACACCAACGACAATACTACTCAAGTCTCAATTGTCTGAATGTCTGCAGCAGCAGTTCATCAGTCGATAACACCTCGTACACTAAGGTTTGTTCGATTCCTGTTCGGTTTTTTTCTTTAGCTCATGTGTGTTAATATGAGCTGAAATAGCTAGGGTTGCTCTGCATTAACATTGTCTAATGAGGGGGGAAAGAGAGATAAAGTATATGCATATGTTAAAACTAATTTTACACTTTTTGTTCCATTTTTGTAAAGAGGTAAGATGATGAGAATGAAATTTAGTGGCTGGAAGTGGATGATGGTCTCATCCCCAAAGCCATGTTGTATTTGATGTGATGAAATTCATGCACGTTTTTGTTTTTGTTTACGAATCACTCGATCTAGTCTAAACAAACTTCAGTATAGTTCAACGAGTTAAAAAACGGTATATAAATTTACATATGAGGTGTAGATATTGCACCAACCTGAGTATAACTCAATGGGTTAAGGACGACTTACAAATTTATATATGACATATGGACGTAGCGGCAACCTGAATATAACTCAACCGGTTAAGACGGTTTATAACCTGAAAATAACTCAACCGGTTAAGACGGTTTATATACAACGACCCAAGCTTACCATTAGCAGATTTTATCTTCCTCACTTATAATTTTTTTATATTTCTTTAGTAGATGCGTTTTAAAATCGTGGGTGGACAATATCTACTAGCCGTGGGTTTGAATTGTCAAAGCGGACAAATATAAGCACTCGAACAAATATAATGAGAAAAAAAAAAGTAACTTATGTTGTGTTGATTATTCGATGATTTTTTAGTATTGAGATCGACCACCGTTGTAGTTCATCCAAGACGTTTATGAAGATTTGATTTGATTTTTAGTATTGAGATCGACCATCGTTGTAGTACATCCAAGACGTTTATGAAGATTTAAAGTCGTTTAGGTCTTCTTGCTGCTATTTCTAAGAGGTCGATGTTTTGTGTTGAAGCTAAGAGTTTGCTACTGCATGACTCGGGGTTGCCTCTCATTTATAATATTGTTTGAGTTATTGGATCATATTGTTGCTCGTATTACTAGCTTCGATCTCGATTTTTTTGCAACTTATACTATATTTACTCCGAATTCTTATGAATTTATGCCAAAAACTTATTTATAACACATTAAACGAATCTTCTAACCTTTTTTAACCATGGTAAAAGTTACTAACTATTCAGATTTAAGGTAAGAAAGTAAAAGTAAAAATAAAGCAGGGGAAAAAGTATCAAATCTTGAGATAAAAATACGGGGATTAAAATAAAGTATGGGCCTACTGGGCCTATTGGGCCTACTGGGCTTTCCTATAGCAGCCCTAAAGCAGTCGAATGGCAAATTTTAAGTTCCATTAGCCACCCGTATTAAACCAAAAAACCGCCACGGCCTTTGTCCAGCCGCGCAGGGAAGTGCTGAAGATTTCTAGGGTTTCTGATCTCTCCCGCTAGTTCGCCAAAATGGTAATCCAAATTCCCATCGCCTATTGTTCGTTCATTTCTATCTTCATGTTTGGAGCTTAGGAATCCTTTGATAGAGATTATTTTGTGTATTTCATAGACGAAATTGATTGGATATTTGGTGATAACGTCTCTTGGGCTTTTAACAATGCTCTGTGTTAAGCGATCAAGTTCTTGTTGGTTGGGTTTGTTTCGAGAGAAATTTGAAGGGACTAGATTGATGTAGGATTTCCTGAATGTTGTTGATCAGCTTTCTTAATAAGTTCATTATCCTTGTCTAGAGGTTTATGTCTGCAATATTTTGATATTCAGGACATGAAAGATGAAGGCTAGGCTAGCAGGACATTGGTTTCTATTGATTTAGCACCTAGAAGGCATATGCAAGTGCTGTAGTAAATTCACCAAGATTAATCCTGTTCTACATTTTGGTTTTTTACGGACTTTTATATTGTAGTAAAATTCAAACTAATGGCAACAATGTTTTCAATCCATTTAGTTATTGCTGGATGTTAGGTAGGGAAGATTAATGCGATAAATATGCTGAATGTCGAATCTTTCTTTTGGACTTCTCGTTCTCCTTTTGAACCAGATACCAGAGTTTGTGTTAGTAGTGTTGTCTAGCTATCCAAGGAGTTGACGCAATATATATTCCTAATGGCTTATTCGATCATTAATAATTTTTTATGTCATGAACTCATAAATCAGACTTCTGGAATCTTGCCATAGAATTCTGTTCACCCTTTTTATTTATTCTCCTTTTTCTTCTTGATGGTTGGATCCGCAACTTTCTCATTACCTTTTATGATGTTGTGTAGACAAAGAGAACCAAGAAGGCTGGCATCGTTGGCAAGTATGGTATGTGATTCTATCATTCTTATTCCCAAGATAAGATTGAACTAAAAATGTTGGGAGAGGGAATATGTATAGGATTCTGTTTCTCATAAAAAAAGATTTTGTGTAGGATTTTTTGGAATTTGGTGAAAGATTTTGATAGAAAGAATATTATGATGGTTGCATTGATAGAGAGATACTCTTCACTGGTCTGGAATTTACATTAGTTGATCAAGCATTTTTCTTGTTTGCTAGATGACAACCCTCCCCTCTCTTTGTCTTACTCTTAATTTTATATATAACATATTAAAAATGCTTTCTTGATGATTACAGGCACTCGTTATGGTGCTAGTTTGAGGAAGCAAATTAAGAAGATGGAAGTAAGTCAGCACAGCAAGTACTTCTGTGAGTTTTGTGGGAAGGTACAACATTGTTTAAAATGCTCGTTTTGGCGTCCTTGTGAACGTTTATTTGAATCTATAAATGTGAAACATTTGAGTAATGTACGATCTGTCCTTTCAGTATGCGGTGAAGAGGAAGGCTGTGGGAATATGGGGTTGCAAAGATTGCGGTAAAGTGAAAGCAGGAGGGGCTTACACGTTGAAGTAAGGATGCTTGAGATTGCTTTCTGTGTATGTCTTTCTTATTCCCAAACTTGTTTCAATGTTTTGACTATGTATGTTGTTCGTTAATGACAGTACTGCAAGTGCCGTGACTGTGAGGAGTACCATAAGAAGGTTGAGGGAGCAGACAGAAAGCTAGATGAACTACCAGATTTATCATTTCTATCAATTGAGGAGGAGGCATGGAGTAATTTTGTTGAGGTTTAGTCCCTTTAATTTCGTATATTTTTCCCGAATTTTTTGTATCTTCTCTACGAACGAAAGTTATGAAGTTAATCAAGTTTGTTGAATCTAGTTTTGACGATATTTATTTTAGAATTTGAATTTTAGTTTAGCATTATGAGCTACAAATTCTCTATTTATTATTTATGTTGGATGGATAGTTTAGTAGTGTAGCCATGGCTACCAAGATGTTTCATTTCCTCCGCCGTTCATCGGCGGTGGTAGAGAAGAAACTCATGGGAAGTTTGATGACAATCTCAGTCTTTCCATGGAGGAGCTATCAACAACACCACCGCCGCCACCGTGAAACTTGAGTTTAAGCAGGCGGCGGAAGCGGTGTGGTTTGATCAAGAAGTAACTCCTGATTCGTATCCGATGGTGGACTTTTTTTTCCATCATTTTGCTTGGGATGATGTTAAAACCTCTCCTTAATAGAACATTTTAAAAACATGAGACTGACGATGATATGTAACGAACCAAAATGGACAATATTTGCTTGCGATAGACAGATTATTCATATATTTTTTTATTCACGGCCAATTGTCTGCCTCTGTACTCCTTTACATTATTGGTAAGCTATATGCTTGTGATGACAATTTCTTTTCTCTTTTAGGGCATTGATAATCTTTCACTCTTCCACTTTTCACAAACCATTTCTTGTCTAGACCTAAACTCCATAAACATTTTTTAGTTCAAGGGAACTGAACATTTAGGTAGCTTGAGAAAAAAAATACTCCTTGAACACTTCGGTTTGAAACATAAACACCAATTTTTGACAGATTTGAACCTTTAATTTTAAGAAAAACAGCAGAATTATACTTATAAACAACATACGTCATTGGATAGAAAATGTGATCATTTCGCCCTCGAATATAAAGAATGATTCATCTCTAACTCAATTGATACAATTAACCAAAAGAATAAGAAATTTGGAATGAAATGCTTCTTTGTTCATGTATTACAAACCATATAAATCACAATAATTATCACTGCTAATCAAACATCTATCTATTAATCTCTTTCAAAAAAAACATAAAATCACAAGAACTAATTAAAAATATTCTCAATTAAGTTGCAAACAATTCCATCCCCATGAATTTTCCTCTCTAAATCACATTTACACAGCATTTTAACCTAAAAATCCCACACTTGCATTTCTCGGAGTCCGGTTTTCGTTTTTTCTTTTCAATACACAAAAACACAATTATATTTTTCAAAACTTCTAAGAAACGAAGCACGAAAAACAAGAATAGTTATCAAACATTTCTATTTCCGTAAAACCCAAAAAGAAAAAATAAAAAAGAGAAACGAGAAATATGAACATGACCAAACGATCTCTTAAATAACAATTTTTCATGCGTGCATCACATCGTACTATGAAGACGAGGTTGGCGACGTTGCTCCGCTCTCGTTCGATCTCAGTTCTTTCGAACCGCTATCATGGCTAGATTTCTTACCACCTTGTGGTTTATTTCCCTTAACAACCACGGCACCAAAATGCACACGTCGTTTGCCATCACCGGGCGTATGACAATCCGGCGATTCAACTTGAGGAAGATTGGCTACAATTCCGCCACCGTTATTGGCAGCGGACGGCGGCCGGTTGCTGCTCGAGGAGTGGCTCAAGGCGGCGTTGGACTGCACTCTGATGGGTTTGAGGCAATGATACAAATAAACCAAAAACCAAAACATCCATGGAGTCGATACCAAGATGATCCCGACGACCGAGTACCAATCTTGAGACTCCGATTCCGGGACAAAGAGGTAGAGGCAGAGGAGGAAGCCGCCGGCGACGACGCAGAGGAACATCAAACCGGAGATGATCAGAATTCTTGCATCCCCTTTTCTTTCTTCCATGAAATGCGATTATTATGTTATGGGGAGCTGTTTATTCCATGGATTCAGACATTCATTTTGCTTTCTTTTGGCAAACAAATCCAATGGAAGGAAGGGTTTCAAACCTTACAAAGTTGGTTTGTTGGTATGTTATAATGACTTAACCGATTTAGGTATCGACGTTCGGGATGATACAATAGAGAGAAAAATAAGGGGAGAAAAATAAGACCCAAATTTGTACGTTTAGAGTTGTCGTTTGCTATTCGTAGAGGTTAATAAACCGTCCCGTCTCATCCGAGATAATTATTCAATATGATCATCACCTTCTAAACCGAGATAGAATTGTTCAATAGGGTTAAGTTT